ATATTCTCCCAAACTGTAGGATGCCTTTTTGTTGTATTGATGGTGTCCTTTGCTGTACAGAAGCTTTTCAGCTTGATATAGTCCCACTTGTTCATTTTTGCTTTTGTTTCCCTTGCCCAGGGAGATATGTTCATGAAGAAGTCACTCATGTTTATGTCCAAGAGATTTTTGCCTATGTTTTTTTCTAAGAGTTTTATGGTTTCATGGCTTACATTTAGGTCTTTGATCCATTTCAAATTTACTTTTATGTATGGGGTTAGACAGTGATCCAGTTTCATTCTCTTACATGTAGCTGTCCAGTTTTGCCAACACCAGCTGTTGAAGAGGCTGTCATTTCCCCATTGTATGTCCATGGCTCCTTTATCGTGTATTAATTGACCATATATGTTTGGTGTTGTAATCTTTTACTCTTTTTCACCTGGTTGGGTTTTTTGTGGGTTGTTTATATGTACATTCTGGATCATTAGTTATGTGTGTTGCCATTTTTTTCTCCCCATCTGTCACTTTTTAAAATTTATTTATTGTGTCTTGTATGTAACAGAATTAAGTTTTGATGTTGCCCAATGTCTTCTCCGTAATTTTTTTAATTTGTCTTTTTAAAGGTAGCATTACTTACTCAAAGTTATAAACACATTCTGTTACGTTTAATCTAGTACTTTTATGAAGTTTTTATCTGCTTAGGTCTCTAGTCTATATAGAATTTATTCTGTAACAGTGTGAGAATTGTGTGAGGGAGGCAGGATCTGGATTAATTTTTTTCCCAATTAGTTATCCTAATACCATTTATTTATTGGTTCATCATTTCTCAACTGATTAAAGGGCTTCCTCTATTCTATACTAATTCCCATGTATACCAGAATTGTATATGGAGCTCTAATCTATTCCAATAGCTCTACAACCTATTTTGCTAGGGCTAGTGCCCTCTTGTTCTTTTTCAAAAATTTTCTTGGCCCTTGTGCATTTTCTCTCCCATGTGAAGCAGCTCATCAAATTCCATGAAAAATGATCTTGGAATTTCAGTTGAGAGTACACTGAAATTATAAATTAGTTTGGGAAGAATGGACATCTTTTATTACACTGAAGATTTCCATCCACGATCAGGGTATTCACCTGCATTTATTTGGGTTTTCTTTCATGTTCTTCGGTAGATTTATAATTTTCTTTTGTAAAAGTCTCACCCATTTCTCATTGGGTTTATTTACCCAGATTCTCTAAAGTTTAGAATCTTCTCGAATCCCTCCCTTCTGCCATTTCTCAACCTTTACAGAGAGCCTCTCCATTTTACTTACATACTTAATTATTGTTACAGGTCACAAACATTTTCCAGTTGTCCTCGAGTTGCATCTTGTCAATGTTTCTATCTCTTCAACTGTAGGGTAAACCCCTTTGGGTCAGGCTGGGGTTGTAATTCCTGCTTGGGGAGGGGGGCATGCATTGAGCTGGGGGAGAATCTTTGCTAACAAGGAAGGGAAGAGGAGGAGGGGAGGAGCAAGGGGCCCAAGGACTAGGAGCAGGGAAGAGGAAGGAGCCTGTTTACTTGGTTTTGGGAAAGGGGGAGTGTTGGGAAGACAGGCCTCTGCAGGGAAAATGACATCTCCCCTCTGCACCTTTAGCCTACCTGCATGCGTGCACGTGTATGCGTGTGTGTGTGATCCCCAAGCCGTCACTGTTCCTTGGCAGCTTCTGATGTCTTCCCAAGCAGCCCCTTGCTGGCAGCCTGTGCTAAGAGCCCAGCTCTGCCACTACTCCCGTGTGATATGCGTGGTAAAGTACCTCTCTCAGAAAACCGCTGTGAGCAAAGAGAGGATGTGTATAAAGCACGCGGCACACAGCATGACTCATATTAGGCATACAATACATGGAAGCTTTGCAAAACTTCATTGATTCATCAGCAAGGGTGTACAGAAAACACTCCAATCTGAAGGACAGGCAGGAAAGAGCTTTGACTGTTTAAGGTGCAGAAAGGAGGCTCAGGGTGGTGAGGGAGCACTGGTGGGGGGCAGGTTGGGTGGGGCCCAGGTCCGAGGACAAGTGGGGAGTCACATGGTATCTGAATAGGCTGCCCTTCTGAGGGTAGTTAGTTGAGAGAGGTGAGGCCAAGTGATCCTGGTGAGAGATGCTGGGGCTATGGGCTTGTGCACACCCTTAGGCAGTTACAAACCTCGTGTGAATGTTGTGAGAAGCATCCTCACATCTCCCCAATCTTTATGGGTCACAACAAGAGAGAGCAAACGTCCATTTTATAGCTAGAGAAACTGAGTCTAAGAGAAGAGAAATGACTAACTTCTTTTAAAGCAAGACAGGGCAAGTTTTGCCCCTTGAGTAGGTGCTTGCTCGGGCCATCTCTCCATCCACTTTAGGGTATGAATACCAATTCTCCCCCTTCAGTCAAAGCTCAGCTGAAATCTTTCCCCTCCTGGAAGTATTCTCTGGTCACCCCAACCCAAATGGGCTCATTTTATCTGGCATCAGGTTTATGTTTTAGATGGTCGCCCTGATCATATATTACTTACAGCATTCTGTTCATCTAGCCATCCTTTTACCCATCCACCTACCCACCACCATCCATCTATCCACTTATCCAAAAGTCAGTAAGCCCTACTACGGGGCTGGTCCTGTGTCAGGCACTAGGCTGCTGGAGATGGTGTGGTCACCTCCATGGCTTAGAGTTGGAACCTCTGTGTTATGGGTTGAACTGTGCCCCCCCAAAATTCACATGTTGAAATTGTAACTTCCAGTACCTCAGAATGTGACCTTCAAGGATCACTGCAAATATAATTAGTTAAGAAGGGGTCATTAGGGTGGGTCCTAATCCAGTATGACAGATGTCCTTATAAAAATGGGGGGGAGATTCAAAGAACAAAGATGGAAGTATTACACTACTTCATTTCAAACTGTACTACAAAGCTACAGTAATCAAAACAGTATGGTACTGGCACAAGACTGGATATATAGACCAATGGAACAGAATAAAGAGCCCAGAAATAAACCAATGCCTGTATGGTCAATTATATATATGATAAAGGAGGCGAGAATAAAGGGGGAGAAGACAGTTTCTTCAGTGAATGGTATTGGGAAAACTAGACAGCTACATGTAAAAGAATGAAACTGAATAGATAACTGTCTTACACCAGACACAAAAATCAACTCAAAATGGATCAAAGACCTAATATGAGACCTGAAACCATAAAACTACTAGAAGAAAATATAAGCAGTAAACTCTTGAGCATCAGTATTATAAATTTTTTTCTGGATATGTCTCCCCAGGCAAGAGAAGCAAAAGCAAAAATGAACAAGGGGGACTACATCAAACTAAAAGCTTCTGCACAGCAAAAGAATTTCACACACATAATCCAATTAAAAAATGGGCAGAGGACCTGAATAGACATATTTCCAAAGAAGATATACAAATGGCCAACAGATTCATGAAAAGATGCTAAAAATCACTAACCATCAGAGAAATGCATATTAAATCCCACAAACAGATATCACTTCACATCAGTCAGAATGGCTAATCTCAACAAGATAAGAAACAATAGGTGTTGGTGAGGATGGAGAAAAGGGAACCCTGTACACTGTTGGTGAGGTCACAGATTGGTGCAGCCACTCTGGAAAGCAGTATCTTAAAAGACTAAAAATGGAAATACCATATGACCCATCAATTCCACTTGTGGGAATCTACCCAAAGAAAGTACAATCATCCACTTGAAAAGTATGTGCACTTCTATGTTTACTGCAGCATTATTTACAATAGCCAAGATATGGACACAACTGAAGCGTCTGTCAACAAATGAATCAATAAAGAAGATGTGGTACATATATACAATGGACTATTATTCAGGCATGAAAAGGAAAGAAATTTTGCTATTTGCAACAACATGGATGGATCTATAGGGTTTTTTTTTAAGAACTAAGTCAGAGAAAGATGAACACCATATGGTTTCACTTATATGTGGAATCTGAAAAATTAAACAATGAAACAGAAATAGAATCATAAACACAAAGAACAGATGGTTGGTTACCATAGGAGGGGCAAGTAAAATAGGTGAAGGGGATAAAGAGGCACAAACTTCAAATTATAAAATAATTTAGTCAGAGGAATGGAAGTCCAGCATAGGAATATAGCTCACAATGTAACATCTTGGTATGGTGACAGACGGTAACTACAGGGAACATTTAGTAATGTACGTCATTGATGACTCACTAAGTTGTTCATCTGAAACCAATGTAATATTGTGTATGTATATAAACTATATTTCAGTTTTTTTAAATGGCGGGAAACTGGGACACAGGGATCAACACAGACACGCAGGGAGGCTGTCATGTAAAGATGAAGACAAAGACCGGGGCAATGCTTCAGATCGCCTGTAAGCCACCAGAGAGGCCTGGAACGGATTCTTCCTCACAACCCTCACAAGGAAGCAACTCTGTGGACACCTTGGTCTCAGACTTCTGGCTTTCAGAACTGTGAAATAATATGCTTCTTCTGCCAAGTTTTTGGTACTTTGTTATTGCAGTCCTGGCACTAATACACTCTGGTAGGAGAGGGAAACCTATGTGAGCCCACCTGACCGGGACTGGAGGTGAGGTCAGTAATGGCTTCCTGGAGGACGTGATGCCAAACTGGGCATTGAAGGATGGATAGGATTTATCACACAGAGAAGTCAGGAAAGAGCATTCTGAGCAGAGGGAAGAATATATCCAAAACTCAGGAGGCGGCAGGAGTGTATGTCAATCACCCATCCTTTGACTTCCTTGAATTTCTATTGCCCAGCCTGCCCGAGCACCTGAGGCCTGGAAACCCACGCTAACATCCTTTGCTCTAAGACAATAGAAAAATAATTTTTACCAGAAGGCCCCATGCGCTCAGGCGGTAACATGCATCATTCTCATCAGCAGGGGGTGCTCACATAGTCATACCTTCAAAAGAAGGGTGGCTGGGAAGGCAGCTCTGTGCTGGCGGGGGGCCTATAGGACACACCATCCAGGGAGGACAGTCACTCGGTACAAGTACTTTATTTCAATACAATAGTGCCACACCAAAACTACAGTAGCACAAAACATAATAATACAAAAAATAGATTCCCTGCCCCAAGCCCCATATCCACGTACCCATGGAGAAGCCAGCCCTACGGCTCTGCGGGCCTGAGGGGAGGGGAGTCTCTTGGAGGGCAGCTGCCCATCTCCTCAGCCTTCTTTGAAGCTCTGGAGAACTGGGGTACTTTGCTTCCACGCCTGCAGGGCCCAAGCCACCCCCAGCACGCCCTGAACCAGCGAGTGCACTCCCTCTGGCTAGACCCTCAGCCCTAGGACAGGTGCTTCTGGCTGGGAGGGGACGGGCGTCCTGCCGACTGACACTTGAGGGAGGTGGCCCTCCATAGGGAAGGCAGAGAGGCGAGGGTCCGGGAGAGGAGGTGCATGGAGGGCAGCAGGTGGGGAAAGCTTACCTCCATGCAGCAGGTGTGGTGGGCTGGTGGCTCTAGCTCCTTTGGCTCCTGTCTGACCTTCCCTTGGAAGAACTACCAGGCCTGCCACTTGGGGACCAGGAACCGCACCTGGAGGCCACTCCCCACACTCCTGTCCCGGCTCTGGGGCTGCGCTGCAGTGGTGAGGCAGTTGCTGAGCTGTAAGGATTATGGCTTCCCAGGCAAGGCAGGTGCATGTGGGAGTGGGGCCTGGCCAGATGGCCCGGGTGGCCAAGATGGGAGAGCAGGTGGGCCCTGGCTGCTCTTGATCGGTCACAGGGGCCTGCTTCCCCAGAGGCCTCGAGTGGGCTACAATTAGCTCCACCCTCTAGTATTGTCCTGATTCAACCCAAGGGGCTGGGGGTGGATGGAGCCCAGGGTAAGTTCAGGGGTTCCTCAGCCTCCTGACCTCAAGGCCACTGACCTGCAGGCCAGAGCTCTGGGCTACACCATGGGGCAGCTCTGTGGGCACTGGGCACAGGGTTACGGCCTTGCATTCCAGTCAGGACATCTGAAAGCCTCATGAGGAGGCCCTGCGGCCCCTGGTGGCAGGGTGGGAGGGGGGAGCTGTCTCCTTGGGGTAGAGTCTGGGGCCAAAGCCTCAGGTAAGGCACTAGAGAATGGAGGGTGGGGCTGGCTGCCATCCTGGGAGCCAGGCCCAGCAGGTGGCAGAGGACCACACGGAGCTCAGAGGGAGGATCGGGGCCCTATGGGAGGGGAGAGCTATTTTCTCTTTCCTCCTTCCCTTGGGGAAGAGAATTGGCAAGGCAGGCCCCGAAGTGGCTGGGATGGGAGAATCACTGCAGAGAGGAAACAACCCCCAGGACAGACATTGGCAGCCAGAAGGGGGATGTTAGGAGGACAGCCACAGCGCAGCAGAGAGCGTCTGGTGGGGGTGGCCTCGCAGGCCTCCTGTGCTCTGGATCCAGGGAGTGTGGGTGCCCCCAGACGGGGTCTGAAGGCCCCAACCTGGCCTTGTTCTGCTGCAGCCCTCAGTCCCCTGCTGCCACTTTGGGGATCAGACCTTCCTTGCTGGGGTTCCCGCCGTTGGACTCTGGGGTCAGAGGCAGGCAAGCCGCAAGGGGAGGTGCCGTGGGCTGGCCCCCCCAGAGCTGCCCCCCTCTCTGCCTGGACTTGATGCTTCTCGGCACCAGGTGGCAGAGGCTGAAGTCATCTCTCCAGGGCTGAGGCAGCTCTCTGCCGGGAACCCGTTCAGTAGCTGGGGATGGCTGCCTTAGCCCGAGTGAGGAAGAGAGAGGGGTAAATCAGGGGGCTTCCCTTGTCCACAGGTTATTTAGAAAAAACAGAACATAATAAATATACCAATCTTTTCCCTTAAAAATAAGTTTTAAATGCATTATTTCCCTGAAGATTTCCAGTGTATTCCACAGCGTTTAAAAAATAAGTTTCCCCAAAAATATATCTTTAAAGCATTTGACACAGTGGCATTTGTGGTGTATCTGGCGCTGGATGTGGGTGGGGGCTGTGTCCCTTTACCCTTGTTGGCACGGGGCCCAGAGCTGGTGAGCAACCAGCCTGACACCCAAATGCCCATTAGAGTTGACACACGTGTGCTAGGACGGCAGGGTCTTCACAGGGGATCGAACCTCGGATTACGATGAGAGCACACACGGTAGGCTCGGTTCCAGCTGAAAACCCTCCGGTGTGCGGTGCAGAGGCCCTGGGGGGCCAGGGGGCAGCCTTGTTCCCGCCCCCGGGGCTCGTCCTCAGCGCCGCCCCCTCCTCTGTCTTGGCTCTTGGTGCTCTGCCCCTCACCAGACTTCACACTTGTGCGGAGGGTTCATGGGCGAGCCGGAAGGGCACTGGAAGTGCTCGGAGAACTCCTTGGAGTTGGAGATGGAGCCGATGACCCGGAAGCGGGAGGGGCTGTGAGGGTCAGTAATGAGGCCTTCGTGGGAGCTCTCGGGCGTGCGGACGGAGCACCAGACCTTTGTGAGGCAACAAAGGAGGGGCCGGGTCACTGCTGAGCCCTGCGGCGGCCAGGCTGCCCCGTCCACGCGCCCCCACCTGGTTCTTAGATGCCCGGGAGTCAGGAAGGTCTGCCCAGCAGGTAAGGAAGAGACAGTGAGCGGCGGTGTTCCCCACCCCTGCATCCGCTGTGGCAGTCGGCCCTGTCAGTCCCAGGCATCTGCATTAAATTTCACCTGAACAAAGGATTCTGCCCCCAAACCAGTTTGAAGACCTCAGCCTGAGTGCAGACCACTCACTTCCTGGGCAGGAGAAACCAGCTAAGGGCCTGGCAGCTCTGGACACCAACAGAAGGCTATACACTGAACATCAACTCAAAGGTTAACTTGGGGCATCTTGAGTTTAATAAATTTTTAGAACCCTAGGAAAAGAAGGGTCCTTAATGATTACCTTGTCCTCTCATCTACCTGATGTGGAAACCTTTTTTAATAGCATTCTTGGCCCTTTCTCGACTCTAATGACAGGAAGCTCAGATTCTTACAGGGTGGATGCCCTGTGGACGGTCCATGGAGCTGGAAGGTTCTCAAAGAGGGGGAACTTGCCGCTTGGCCCTCAGAGCCCTGGAACATCAAGATGGCAGCATGCGTCTAGGTTTGGCATTTTTCCCTATAATGAACTCACCTGTGCAAACCCCAGGAAGAAGAGCTGGTTATTGGTGAGACCCAGGGTGGGCAAAGTCTGCTCAGCCCCGTTCTTCTTCACCCAGTTCTGGTAGGCCTGGCAGGAGAGAAAGCAAAGCCCGGGGTTCTTGTGATGTAGGAGCAAACAGGGCTGCCGCAGGGGGCTGGCGTGGGAGAGATCGGGAAGCTCTGTTGGGGCAGAGACTGGTTTCTGGGGTCCGGGCCTCAGCTCTCTGATGGCCCAGCTCAGCCTGGAGGAGCTGTCTTCTTTACTGCACTCATTCTTCATTTTATCTGCACCTCAAATTGTCTTATCTATTTAGCTACGTAGGGACTTCCTTTCCCTTCCCCTGCCCGCTGACACTATGATGTGAGCTTTATGAGAGCAGGACCCCCATCTGTCCTGCCACAGAGACTCCAGTGCCTAAAACGGTACATGGTGGGGAGAAGGCCTGCAGTATATTTTCACTTACTAATGGACTCTAGGCAAGTCACAGAATATTTCTGGGCTCAGTTTCCTTATCTGTAAAATGGGGTGGTGACCCCTAATTGTAAGGTGGGTGGGGGTCCTGAGCACAGAGCCTGGCATGTAAGGCCTCAATAAATGGCACCCCATGGCACCCCTGCTCTCCCCACCACCACAAGGAAGCTCTGTGCTGCTCTGAGAGCCGCCTCCCTCTGTTCTCTCGCAGCCTCTGTTTTCTCTCCTTCCAACTCAGCCAACATTTCTGAGGGCCACTCCGGCTCAGGCCTATGCCCACGTTGTCTGCGTTATCATCGTGCTAACACCCCAGTGATGCCGGGGTTAGGAAGTCACAGCCAGGCACACGGAGGCCCAATTTAGCTGAGTGACTCGCTCCAGAGCCAGGACTGGAGCACAGAACTGACTCGTGACCAGTGGCCCTCTTCACTCCTTCCTGAACTAGCGTGGCCTCCCCTGCAAAATGCAAGCACAGGCTGATCTTCAGGTGGGTCCAACCCAGGCCCTCTCCTGTGCCTCAGTCAGGCCGGACTCGAGCAGAAAGCCTTGCGTGTGCCGGGCCCCCGGGCGAGGTGCTCTCGCAGACACACGGCCTCAATCTGAATTTGCTGCCCCTGTTCACGCAGGAAGAAGCTGGAGCTCACAGAGCAGCTGCAGCTGACCCCAGCTTGTCTGTACCGACCCTTTCCCGAGAGGGCATCTGGACAGACCCAGGCCTGGGCCTGGCTGTGGTGGGGAGTGGACCTCTCACCCGATAGGCCGCCTTGAGGCCCCCGTTATCGGCAATGTTCTCCCCAAGGGTGTGCCGGCCATTCACCGGCTCCCCATTGACGCTGTAGTTGCTGTACTGGCCCACCATGCACTCGGTCTGCTGCTTGAAAGCCTCCACCGACGAGTTCTTCCACCAGGGCCGCAGGTTCCCGTCCTTGTCGTACTCGCGTCCTGCAGGGTCAGAGGAGGCGCCGGGTCAAAGGGGAGAAGAGGCAAAGCCAGAACTGGTGCCGCTTATGCGCCTCTCCTCCCAGTGGGCAGTGGGTTCGCGTGTCTATCGTCCACCTACCCACCGGCTCTGGGGAGACGCTGCCGGTCTGAGTGCTAAGCAGCTGACACAGCCGTCGGGGCTGGGTGGGCAGGGGAGAGAGGATGGTGGGCGGTAGTGCAGGCAAGGATGTGCGGGTTTCAGTGGAGCAGGGTCCCTGTGAGGCTGACTGAGGGCCTGCGACTGAGACCGGAAGGGCTAGTGGAGTCAGCAGCTCTGCGGTCACAGGACAGGCCTCAGCATCTAAGGTCCTGCCTCTTCCTTCTGGAACTTGGGGTCCGCAGGCAGGAGGGAATGAGGAGGATTCTGGACGTTTGCTGGTGAGGAGGGGACTGACTGCAACTCCCCTGAGTGTGTGTGGCCGGACCAGAGAAGTCTGCTCTCCCTGCTGAACACTAATACCCACCCCGAGTCCTGGACAACCCCAGGGGCGGGGTGCCCACTGATCTGATGCAGTCCTCAAAATCACCAGGTGAGGCTGGAATCATCAAGCCCATTCTACAGACAAGGAAACAGAGGCTTGGAGAAATGATGGGACTTGCAAAACCATATAATTGGCAGGAGGCAGAGGCAGGATTTGAACCGAGTTCCATCTGTCCCCAAGGCTAAGACACTTGGAAGGGGGGGGAGCAGAAGCAGAAGCAGTGGGGCCAGGAAGCTGATGGGCCCTGTCGGAAGGGAACTCCACGGAATCCATACCTTGGTCATCGAAAGCATGAGTCAGCTCATGGCCCACGACGACACCAATGCCACCAAAGTTTAAGGCCCTGGAGGAGAGGACACAAAAGTGAGGGCAGTGCCACAAGGGGCCGTCACTTCTCGGCCCAGAGACACAGAGGGATTCCGCGGGGCTCTGTGGGATGTGACTGCAGTCTGGGTCTCCAGCCAGGCCCCGGAAGCCAGCCGGAGGCTGAGCGAGTCGGCTGTGGTCAGCCTGTGTCCAAGGCTCACCATGCACTGTGCTGGTGCTCCACAGGGCCGCTCTGTTCCCTTGGGTCATCTCAGAAGAGTTAGGTACTAGTAACTAACTCAGCATCTGAGCAAAACAAGGCTTGAAGAGGGTCCAATCGCTTTGTCCAAGGGCCCCAGAGTCAGCAAAAGGCAGACCTGGGATGTAAACCCAGGCCCACATGGATTTCCTTTATGAGACAGTGCCCGTACGCTCCCTGCTCCCCAGCTGTGACTGCTGGACAACACTGATAGAGGGGCACTCCCCTGTGCAGGGCTCCGGACTCACGCCACGCCCCCACGGTCCCACTGTGTAGGGACTTCCAAATCCCGGAGACCCCTGGAGGGAAGGAGAGAGAGGAAGGACCTTTGCGACTTCTGTGCAAATCCCAAGCTACCTGGGCCAGTGGGGCACAGAGCGCCCAGGGATATTGGCTGGCACGTGGTCAGCCGTGGGCCACAGGGCTGTGCTGAGTGGGGGTCCACTGAGGGGCAGGGGGAGATGGGGTGAAAGTACCAGCAGCATCCTACTTGGGGGAGGAGCGGGTATAGAACGGTGCCTGCAGGATCCCGGCTGGAAACACAATCTCGTTCTTGGTGGGTGAATAGTAGGCGTTCACCATGGGTGGGGTCATGCTCCACCTACAAGCAACACACACATGAGAGCCCAGGCACGCTGGTGGGACAGTCCATCCAGAGGGCATCAAGAGCCTTAAAAATGTGGATTCCCCTTGACCCCAGGCCCAAGGACATCCACAGAAGGGTTGTTTTTGAGAGGGGAAAACCAGAAAACACCCAAATGTCTACAAGGAAGGGATCCTTTAAGTCTGACATCACACAGTGGAACACTTAGGTTCTTACGAAGAGCCACATGGATCACATGGAGCCATATGGTCATTGGTGATTAAGCTTGAAATGTATCTATGAGCAGTTATCAAAGTGTGATCTATGGACACCTGGTGCGGGGGGGTTCTCAATTCCCTTCTAGGGAGTCTGTGAGGTCAAAATTATTTTCATAATAATATGAAGATGTTATTTGCCTTTCCCCTGAGTTGACATTTGCACTGACGATGTAAAAGCAACAGTGGTAAAACCGCTGGAGCCTTAATAGGAATCAAGATACTGGCACTAGGTGTTCAAGTGGCCGTGTTCTTCACAAGAAAGAAAAAGAAAAAAACCATTTCACTGAAGAACATTCTTGATGAAGTAGCATAATTATTGATTCATGACATCTAGAGCCTTGAGTGCAAGTGGGACCAAAAGGGAAGCACACAGAGGCCCACTCCCTGCTGCACAGACTACCATTTGAGCTGGAGAGAGTGACTGACAAAATATGGCACTTCAGACTTGGGGATCTGGCAGATACTGTCTTGGAAATGAATAAAGGGAGCTCATCACCTCAAGGAAAACAACTGACACTACTGGTTGTTACCAATGATAAAAATGCAAGGTTTCAAAAAGAATGTGACATTTCTAGCAAAAGTTAAAATTTTGAGGAACTTCTGTTGGCCACTATAAACCTGACAGGTTCCGGCACTTCAAGACTCTTCTCAGGAGGTTAGCAGTGAAATGAACAAAGACTTATTTCTGGGCATACTGTATAATGAATGTGTCACTATTTGGAAGGTAAGTACAACTTGGTGGACCATTGTTCTCCAAATGACCAATGCGTGATGTTACAAAATCATGCATGAGTAAAAGATCCATTCAAAGAGTAGGACAGACTGATTGATTTTAGTGTAACAGAGTATGAAAAGTTCATGGATATGGTTTCAGATTCTACAGGCAATGAACCTTTAAGAAATTACCACTCGTTGAGTTTTTGATAGAGTATCAATGAAGAATGTGTTTTTCAGAAAACACTATTAAGATATCCTTCCCTCTTCCAGCTATAAATCTGTGTAAGGCTAGATTTCTTTATATATTTCAAAACAATACATAGTAACAGATTGAATGCAGAAACAGATATGAGAACTCAGCTATCTTCTATTAAGCCAGACTTGAAAGAAATCTGCAGGAAGTAAACAATACCTCTCTTCTCACTAAACTTAAAAAAAATAGTTCCTTTTTATAAAATCTGCATAAAAAAATGATATAACCTCCACAAACAAAAAAAGCTCTTTGGGGTCTAACAGTTTTTCACAGTGTAGAAGGGACCCTGATGGTACATTAGCAATAAAATATTTGGCCTCTCAGTGATTTTTCTTGTGTGGAAGAGAAGGACCAGTAAGGAGTAGAGAGAGACAGAAACTAGACAGCCACTCTGCCTCCTCCAGGGAGCCTTCAGAGGTATATTAAGGGGTGCCTGAAGCCACAGAATGAGAAATTGAAAACATTCATATTCTGATAAGCATGGATATGTTAATGAGTAGGAGACAATATTTAAATAAAAAATTGTAAGCTACATTAGAAGACTTTAGATAAAGTCGGAACCTTGTGGCAGTACCTATGCCATATTCTGGAGATAAAAGACTGCCTTCCTGTGCATTGAAGGGGTACCCTGGTGGAAGATGGGAAACTTAACAGGAAACAGAGATGTTCAAACCCCTGTTGTCCACAAGGGGGCACCAGAGGCAAGGAGAAGTTGCATTAACCTTTCGGTTAGATTTATTCTGTGGTTTTAAGGGCATGGTGGGAGCTTAGTCTGAGAACTAGTACCGGGCGGACTACATCTTAGATAACTGTCAAAAAAACCAGATACTAGGTCTCACTCCAGATTATTTTAAGAAGGTCTGGGGGCCAGGCCAGGAAACTATATTTTAAAAGTTCTGATGTGCAGTGAGGTTTGGGAACCATAGCTGTTGGGGGTCCACCCAGCATCTTCCCTAGCTGGGGGCCTCTTCTGTGCCAGACACTCCCCAGAAATTCTCAAACTTGACTGTCACACTAGCTCCTCCCATTCTATCTGTTTACAATGAAGCAAAGGCTCCAAATGCTGAAGTGGAGGAGCCGGCACGTGATGCCAAGTCCACTCAACTCCAGAGGCCAGGTACTCTGCCAAGAGGCTGGGTGCTGGGCGCACACAGACTAGGGGCCAATCCCAGCGCCTGGCTGGGCAACACTTCCTGGGTCCTTGGTTCTTCACCTGAAAAGTGGGATAACAACAACCCACTCCTTAAACAGTTATATCTGGCACACAATATGTGTGCGAGCTCAGTCCAGGGCACCCCTGTGTGCTGGGGGCTGGCACCTTCCCAGCGAAGGGCCCAGGAACTCACTGGTCTCTGTTGGGAGCTTTCCTGAGCTGGTCAGCAGTGACCCTCCACGAGAAGTTGAAAAACCGCATAGCGTTCTCGAAGTAGAGGTCTGGAACGGCAGTGTACTGGGCAAGAGAAAGCAAGGCCACAGGATCAGAACGCGACCAGGCTGGGAGGCATCTCTCCTCCTCGAATGCCAACTGAGAAACTGAGGCCCTACATGGTAAAGGGGTCGGTCTGTAGGTCAGCAGCTAGAAGGGAGGCTCGGGGCTGCAGGCTTGGGCTTTGCCCTCGGCCCTCGCTCTGCTGGGGCCTGGCACGCTCTCCTCAAGAACACACTGAGAGCTTCACCCACAGCCTCCCAGCACCCGGCAGTGTCACAGGGCTGAAGGATGCCCCTGGGCCTTCAGTGGGAAGTAGCTCCATGCTGTCCAACAGAACTCTCTGTGGTGATGGACATGTTCTGTGCCTGTGTGGTCCAATAGGGTGGATGTTACCCACATGTGGCTACTGAGCAGTTTAAATGTGGCCAGTGAGGCTTTTAGATTTAATTTTAATTTAGAGTACTTCAATAGCCATCTGTGGCTAGGAACTACCAGAGTAGACAGCACAGATCTACCTATCATAAATCAAGCTGGGATCTATGTGAAATGTCAGGGAACAGGCATTATTGAAAATGGTCCTCACCACTCAGCCCAGCCTGTCAGCTCTCTTCAGGGGCAAGGCTCTCCCTTATATCGGCTCCAGAGCTTTCTGGCTTCTGTCAGGGCTCTGGCAAAATGCTGGGCCCGCGGGCGCAGGACTGACCCTGTGCGCTCTGCCTGGGCCGCCTCCAGGAGGCCCAGGATCTTGAATCAAGACACCCTGGAGCATCTTAAATTACTCTCAAGGAAGAAGGCTGCAGAATGAGTCCCATATATTCAGAAGTAATTTTCTTAGGTTTTAAATATAACCATGATAAGAGGTTATTATAATTGCATAGGTATCTGAAGTCACAAATTTCAATCACAAGAAGATATGAAACTTTATTTTTCAGGGCAGAAGCACAATCCATTTAAAGAGTGATCTGCCAAATGATCTAACCTCCAGGGATTTGTCAACTAGCCTTGTTGCCTAAATTAAGCTTAAACATGCATTTGGGATTTAGGTTACTTGTTTTCAATTATCATTTCAAGGACCAAGTGGAAAGTCCAGGTTTCTCAGGGAAGGTGGGGGGAGGACCCGAGAGTTGAAGGCAACTCAGGGGACTAGGAGGAGGAGTAGGGTTCCACTCTTCTCCCCACCCTCACTGATGTTTTAGGAACACCAATTCTCTGTGCACCTCATAGGAGCTGCTTGCCTTCATTGTTTCTCACTCTTTAAATGGAGCTAACCACTTTCAATAGGGCACATGGTCTCTGGCTGGCCCAGGAGAGGGGGACCAGGGAATAGCTTCCTTGTGCCTGATCCATCTCCAGACCCCACACACCAGCATCTTGAGCCATGTTGACCATTGTGGTGCCCCGAAAATCCCATCCAGACTCAGCCTGCCTCTGTTCTTTACAAGTGGGGCCTCCCAGGGGCATTTGGGAATGCAAAGGGGCAGGGTGGGAGCCACTCACGTCATTGAACACTTTGTCCAGCTCCTTGGGATCCATGATAAAGTTGGGGTAGCCTATCATGTTGTAGATTGCATCTGCCTGGACAGGAGAGATACAGAGGACAATGAGCACCTAGCAATGCTGGCCAGTATCAGTGTCTGAGCCAGGCTCTTCCCCGCTCAGGATGGTCACATGTCTTTCTGGAAAGATTCCTCTCTTACTTAACCTCTGCTTATCCTTTGGATCTCTGCTTAAATATCACTTTCCAGGGGAAGTTTTTCCTGACCAGCACCCACTGGATTGCATGTGATCCTTTACTGTCTGTTAGACATGTCATGTTTCCCAGCATTTTCCCTGGTACCCTTAGTCATTAATGCAATCGTGTTCAAGGCAGTCCCTCCATCCTGCTGAACTGTTCATTTCCCGTGGGCAGGTCAGCACCCAGCCGTGCTCTTCAGATAAAACTTGTCTCTCCTCAATCCACCCTCCACTGTCTGGCTGCTGCACTCTATGCATGAAGCCTCTATAGCTCTCTTCAACCACCTGGCCAGCCTTACCTTTTCCTTGGCTGATTTACGAGTGTCTTCATCCATCCATTTTAGGGTGCTCAAGCTTTCCTCAAATGCCTTCTTGATCTCCAGGATTATCTCACTGGCCTGAGGAGACAGAAGTTGAACCAGTAAGGTCTGGGCCCTGGGTGGGCACCACAAGCAGAAGGGCAATGCTGGTCCAGGGACTAAACTCAGGTCTCGGCTCAAAGCTCCTAGGTGCTGGGCTGGGAAGGGCAGCCATAGCCATGCTTCCCCAACCTTGCTCCTCAGACACTAAAATCTTGTAAGACAAGACTGGACCTTCATAAACAGGGCTCCAGGGTCAAATATGCTTAGCACAAGCTTTGGGAGAGCTGTAAATATCTCTTTGCTTTGGTACTTTCCAGACTCTTAAATGTATAACATGCACTGTGATTCCTTCTGGAGAATGCTTGAAAATGTAGCCTTTCAGACATATTGGACAGAATTCCTTTTTGATAGATTGGGCTTTAAAATCTGAAGAGCTTGAGCTTCTGAGGAGCTGCCCTTAGGCTCTAGATGAATGGCCATTCCTGAGGACGAGTATGTCACAGGAAGACCTGGAGGCAGAAGATTCTAGAGCAGGGAAGGCGGAGTCTTGAAGCAGAAAGAGCAGAGGGGCTGACCGGCAGCCAGAGCTCACCACACAGGTTCTGCATCAGCTGCTCAAAGGCAAGTCATGTAATAGATTTGAGTCACCGTTTGCCATCCTTTGCAGATAATATCTACATAATTAATAATAGTAATAAAAATCATTACATAGAAGAAATGGACAACTTTAGAAAAATGCAGCCTTCCAAGACTGACGCAGGAAGAAACAGAAAATTTGAACAGACCAATTACCAGCAATGAAATTGAATTGGTAATCAAAAAACTACCCAAGAACAAAACTTCCGGGCCAGATGGATTCACCACTGAATTTTACCAGACATTTAGAGAAGACATAATAGCCATTCTACTTAAAGATTTCCAAAAAATAGAAGAGGAGGGAATACTCCCAAACTCATTCAATGAAGCCAGCATCACTATAATACCAACACCAGGCAGACACCACAAAATGAGAAAATTACAGACCAATATCCCTGATGAACATAGATGCAAAAATACTCAACAAAATATTAGCAAACCAAGTTAAAAAATACATCAAGAGGATCATACACCATGATCAAGTGGGATTCATCCCAGGGATGCAAAGATGGTACATCATTCAAAAATCCATCAACATCATCCATGTGGTATCAATAAAAAGAAGGACAAAAATCACATGATCATCTCCACAGATGCTGAGAAAGCATTTGACAAAATTCAACACCCATTTATGATAGAAACTCTCAACAAAATGGGTTTGGAGGGCAAGTACCTCAACATAATAAAGGCCATATATGACAAACCCACAGCCAACATCATGCTTAACAGCGAGAAGCTGAAAGCCTTTCCCTTAAGATCGGGAACAAGACAAGGATGCCCAATCTCCCTGCTTTTATTCAACATAGTTCTGGAGGTCCTCGCCACGGCAGACAACACAAAGAGATAAAAGGCATCCAGACTGGTAAGAAAGAAGTCAAACTATCACTGTTTGCAGATGACATGATACTGCAGATGAAAAACCCTAAAGAATCCACTCCAAAACTACTAGAATATCTGAATTCAGCAAAGTTGCAGGATACAAAATTAATACACAGAAATCTGTTGCATTCTTATACACTAACGATGAACTAGCAGAAAGAGCAATCAGGAAAACAATTCCATTCACAATGGCATCAAAAAGAATAAAATACCTAGGAATAAACCTAACCAAGAAGGTGAAAGACCTATACCCTGAAAACTACAAGATACTCTTAAAAGAAATTAAAGAGGACACTAACAAATGGAAACTCATCCCATGCTCTTGGCTAAGAAGAATTAACATTGTCAAAATGGCCATCCTGCCTAAAGCAATATACAGATTCAATGCAATCCTTATCAAAATACCAACAGCATTCTTCAACAAACTGGAACAAATAGTCTAAAATTCATATGGAACCACAAAAGACCCTGAATAGCCAAAGCAATCCTGAGAAGGAAGAATAAAGCAGGGGGTATCTCGCTTCCCAACTTCAATCTCTACTACAAAGCCACAGTAATCAAGACAATTTGGTACTGGCACAAGAACAGACCCATAGACCAATGTAACAGAACAGAGAGTCCAGATATTAACCCAAGCATATATGGTCAATTCATATACAATAAAGGAGCCATGGATATACAATGGGGAAATGACAGCCTCTTTAACAGATGGTGTTGGCAAAACTGGACAGCTCCATGTAAGAAAATGAAACTGAATTACTGTCTAACTCCATACACAAAAGTAAACTCAAAATGGATCAAAGACCTGAATATAAGTCATGAAACCATAAAACTCTTAGAAGACAACATAGGCAAAACTTTCTTGAATATAAACATGAGCAACTTCTTCATGAACATATCTCCCGGGGCAAGGGAAACAAAAGCAAAAATGAACAAGTGGGACTATATCAAACTAAAAAGCTTCTGTATAAGAAAGGACAACATCAGCAGAACAAAAAGGTATCTGACAGTATGGGAGAACATATTCATAAATGAGATATCTGGTAAGGGGTTGACATCCAAAATATATAAAGAGCTCACACGCCTCAACAAACAAAAAGCAAATAATCCAGTTAAAAAATGGGCAGAGGGTCTAAACAGACACTGCTCCAAAGAAGAAATTCAGATGGCCAACAGGCACATGAGAAGATGTTCCACACTCCTAATCATCAGAGAAATGCCAATTAAAACCACAATGAAATATCACCTCATACCAGTTAGGATGACCACCATCCAAAAGACAAACAACAACAAATGCTGGTGAGGATGTGAAGAAAGGGGGAACCCTCCTACACTGCTGGTGGGAATGTAAATTAATTTAACCATTGTGGAAAGCAGTATGTAGGTTCCTCAAAAAACTAAAAATAGAAATACCATTTGATCCAGGAATTCCACTCCTAGGAATTTACCCTAAGAATTCAGGATCCCAGTTTCAAAAAGACATACACACCCCTATGTTTATCACAGCACTATTTACAATAGCCAAGAAATGGAAGCAACCTAAGTGTCCATCAGTAGATGAATGGATAAAGAAGATGTGGTACATATACACAATGGAATATTATTCAGCCATAAGAAGAAAACAAATCCTCCCATTTGCAACAACATGGATGGAGTTAGAGGGTATTATGCTCAGTGAAATAAGCCAGGCAGAGAAAGACAAGTATGAAATGACTTCACTCATCTGTGGAGTATAAGAACAAAGCAAAAGCTGAAGGAACAAAACAGCAGCAGACTCACAGAACCCAAGAACGGACTAACAGTTACCAAAGGGAGAGGGACTGTGGAGGGTGGAAGGGAAGGGAGGGATAAGGGGATTAAGGGCATTACGATTAACACACATAATGTAGTGGGGGCTACGGGAAGGCTGTATAGCACAGAGAAGACAAGTAGTGACTCTATAGCATCTTACTATTCTGATGGACAGTGACTATAATGGAGTATGTGGTGGAGACTTGACAGTGGGGGGATCTAGTAACCACAATGTTGCTTGTGTGATTGTATATTAATGACACCATAAAAAATTATAATAATATAACAGCGACCATTTATAATGAGCCCTTATTTTGTGTCAGGTGCTCTTTATGTGTAGTATCTCATCTGATCTCCCTCTATGGGATGGCCACCACCTCCTCCAGCTGGAGGGTGATGTGAGGATACTATCCCAAGTCGCCCAACCAGGAAGTGTTGGATCTGGGGTCTGAGCTGGAGACTGGCCATCTGTGTGCACTGAGCCTGTCACCCTCCAGGCCAGAGCTGTTCTGCTAACATTACCATGGGGGTAGAGATAGGAACAAGGTCTCGGAGTGGCCATGAGGGTTAAGCCAGTTGACACAGATAAGGTACCTGGCTGTCAAGTTCAACAGAGGCCCTCGTGTGCGTGAGGTCATAGTCTCTGTCCAAGGGGGGCACTTACTATGTTCTTGCTGTCCTCGGCAAAGGTCGCTTTGACAAACATGGGGCCCAGCGCGAAGCCTAAGTTGTTTTCCGTGTCACTCACGCAGAACTTCCAGCGAGGAAGACACGTCTAGAAAACACAGGATGGAGGTTACTTAGCCCCAGTCCTTTTTCTTCCCACCCTGTTTGGGAGGTCACACCAGCTGGGGCCTGTGCTTCCTTCCAGAACTTCAGAGAGATCTTTTCCGACCCAGTGGAAGTTATTTTAGGCACTGGACCAAGAGGCCACAGAATATCCCTCAAAGCCACATTGACTATTTCCCGAATGTCGGGCTCTGTGCACAGCGCTTCCCAAACAGCACCCCATCGAGCCATCAGAACGAACCTGGGAGGCAGGGATGACAGGCCTGACAGATGAGGAGATGGAAACCAGCAAGGGGAAGTCACTGGTCCCGGGCCCCATGGTGAGGAGTGTTACTGCGGCTGAACTCCGCCAAGCCTGACCCCATGCCCCACGCCCATCCCATCTTGCCCTGCCCCCTGGAGGAGCCTTGGAATCCTGGTCACAGAGAACCTTGGGAAGTTCCCTGCCCAGCCTGAGCACAGGGAGACCTTCCCAAAAGGCCAGGACCCCAACCCCACAGGAAGCCTCCTCGTGAAGAACGGGCAGAGCGACACTGCAGGGCTTTACATGTTCACCTGTCCTTGGCCTCACCAAGCCCACTGGCCCTGGAACAGGCACCCCGGGGGGTTGCAGCCTCAGGGAGTCTGTGCCCCTGCCCTGGCAGCTCTCTGGGAACAGAGACAAGTGGTGGCCCTGCTCCTGTCAACCCCCATGCTGCAGAGGAAGCGGAGTCCTCTGAACTCTGAAGAACAGGTGGTAAAAACCAGCCAGGCTCAAGAAAGCCTGCTTTCTAATAGCCTTCAACTAAAAAACAGCCCAAATGCCCATCAGCAGGCAGATGGATAAATAAAATATGGTATTTTTATACAACAGCATGCGACTTGGCAACAAAAAGGAATGAACTACTGATATACACAACCTGGATGAATCCCACAGCCATCATCTGAGCAAAAGAAGCCAGCCACAAAAGACAGAGCATATGGCCCCCTCTACACCCACCTGGGGGTGCGGGACTGGGGAGAGGACCGGAATGGGGAGGAGGGAGCTTTCTGCTCAGAGGACACTGGAAAAATAAATGGCTGATGTGATGTTCTCCATCTTGATCGGGTGGTAGTCACACAGGTGACTACATTTGTCAAAACTCACTGCACTGTGTACTTACTGTATGTTATTACTGTATATGTATGTACTTACTGTGTATTATTACATTATAATGTATGTAAATGATACCTCAGTTACAAAAATTTCTTCTAGGCAAGAAGGATGAAAGGAAGTAATAGGCGCCAGCCTTCTCCAACTTTAGTAGCCCAAATTCTTAAGCTTTCACACTCATGTGTCCATTCAGATGCCTTCCCCACCCCCCAACCCCATGTCCACCCCTCCTCAACTTAAAGGCCAAGGGCTGGATACAGGTTGTGCTTAGACCTGGCTAAGGCTGAGCAAGCAGGGGGTCAGGACCAGGTGGAGGCTCCAGGCTGTGGGGGCTGAACCGGGCTGATTGCTACTCACCGTCTTCTCAGGACATTCTTGGCATAACCCAGTCATTCTTGTGTGCATTCATGAACTCATTCCCAGAGATCGCTGAGCAGCTACTCTACACCCGGAATGTGCTAGGCCTTTGGGACCAAGAGATGATGGCCAGGGCCCTTAGGGGGCTCAGTTGAAGCGTCCAGAACAGCCAGGGGGAGAGACAGACCCACACCAAGAATAGGCGCAGCAGCTATGATAGCAAATGCTTCTCGAGTGTTTGCTGGTCACTGGGCTCTATCCCATATGATCCTCATAATGGCCCACAAGGTGGGTATTCTGCGTGCTCCTTTTACAGATAAAGAACGTGGTGTGGAATGCTTTAGCCTTTAGAACAGATTTTGTGGGGATCCCCTCATGTGATCCCAGACAACCCTCTGGTTACTAGAGCAGGGATACACTCCCCCTTTGCACAGATGGGAAGATTGAGCCCCCTCCTCCAAGGCCATGTGGTATTTCAAACTCAGATCTTCTCATCCAGAGTTCGGTGCTGCTTCCTTATGCCATGTTCCCTCTCTGTAAGGACAGACAACTGGACACTCTACACAGTTCACAGTTTGAAAGTGTTTTGTCAAATGGTGGAAGTCAAGAATGATCTTAAATAACAGGTGAGAAAACTGAGGCTCAGAGAGGTACAAGGTTTCCCCAAGGTCACACAGCTGGGATGTGGCTTTGAGTTGTGTTGGACGCAAGCTGGACAGACCTAGCCTGGACCCAGAAGGAGCTACAGTGGGGGTGGGGAAGGCTCAAGAATGAAACATGAATGAGCAGTACTCTCAGCCCCTCAGCCCTGGGGGACCTAGCAAAGCCCCACCTTCCCTGGCAGAGCCCCTCACCTCCAGGGTCTCCCAGCTGCCCTGGATTCTGCCAAGGCCTCCCTGTGCCCTGCTGGCCCTCGGCGCCCATGGTTAGAGCTGCACTCTGCACTTTGAGTCTGGCCCAGGGAAACTCACTTGTTCCAGCTATCTATTTATAATTGTGGTAAAACACACATACGATTTACCTTCCTAAACCACTTCAAGTGTGCAGAGTCCAGTGGTGTTAAGTATATTCACATAGCTGTATAACCAATCTCCAGAAATTTTCATCTTGCGACTCTGACACTCCCTATCCCTTAAACAGCTCCCCATTCCGCCCTCGCTGCTCCCAGCCCCTGGCCAGCACCAGGAAGCTCAGTTTTCAGTGTTGGTTCTCACAGGTCAGAGACTGAGTGGTGCAGAGCTGCAAGGAGTGTGCAGTGGAGTCAGAGAGTCCGCTCCCCACTTATGAGCAGAGCAGCTTTCAACAAGTCCCTTCCCCTCGCTGAGCCTTGGTTTCTGCATCTGTAAAATGGGATGGTGATAACAGTTCCTAACACACACAGCTGCTGTAGGAACTTGGCAAGGTAGTGCCTATAAAAGGCAAACATCCAGTAATGATATACTTATTATTATTATTATTATTATTAGCGAGTAGCTGAAGCTGCTGAAAAGTTGCAGTCATCTACACTTGGGTGTGAATTTGAGCTTGGCTGCTTCCTTGCTGGGTGACTTGGGAAATCCCTTTGCTTCCCTGAGCCTCAGTTTCCTCATCTGTATCCTGGGGGGTGAGCCACAGTACAGTACACTCCACACAGAGCTGTCGCCCTGCTTATCATCCTGGTCACAGACGAGTGATCATGAGGACAGAGTCCATGCCTTGTCACATCTGTGACCCAGCAGCTCACACCTGCAGGTGGGGCAGGAAGGCGGTCAGCAGGGCAGGGCAGCCAACTCTTCCCGGTGTCCTTCTCTGAGGGGCAGGGCTGGCTTTCATGGCTGAGGCCCCAGCGTGTCTGGGAAGACCCTTGTCAGGAGCTGGACTTGTTTGCAGCCACCCTCTCCCTCAGTTCCTCCTTCCTGACAGAGGTGGAGGTATGTGGAGATGGGACAGAAAAGGAACTTTTCCCAGGGTGAACCCGGGGCTGGAGGCAGGCACCCACCCGCTGCCACCCTCCACCAGTCCTTATCAGATGGTCCACTCCTTGACCACTGGGAAGGGCCAGGGGGCGGGGTCCAGCTGGAGCTGCTGCCAGTCCTCTGGGGTCTCGCGAGCTGCTGTGCTGGGTGGGCCAGCAGCATGTGCTGGGGGGACTTGGCACCCCAGTCTCTACTGTTCTGTAGCTGAGGCCCTGGCTTGGTGTATTACACCAGCACATAAGGGGTCTGATGAGTGTCTGCCACCTCCCTCAGCAGATGCAGGCTCTTGGGCAGAGACCCCATCTCACCTGTACCAGTATCCCCACTCTGGGCTCAGAGCTTGGCGTATGGTGGCAGATGGTCACTGAACACACACCTGTGGGCTGCCGAATGAGTGACTGCCACTTTCTTGAGGAGGGGCTGGAGGTGGCTGGCTGGGGAGCCTTCCACGGATGGAGGTGGGGGTCGGGGAGAGGGGAGCCCTGGGGCTTCTGGAAGAACAGATCCTCAGGGGTTATGGTGGGGCATCTGAAGGTAGGGGACCACCTGGCCTGGGCCTGGGCGGATAAGGTCAGTGAGCACTCCTGTAGTCCTCACCATGAGTGGGTGCAGAGCTTAATGTTTACAGGGAAGAAGTAGCACTACTGGGGTCCCCTGTGTAAAGCGGGATGGTACTCAAACCCACCTTACAGGGATGTGAAGATCACATGAGTTATACAAGGAAAGTACTTATTGTCATCACCACTGAGGAGTAGGAAGAGGAAAGAAGTCAACTTTTGCTGTAAATTAGCTAAATTGATAAGACTCTACCCTTTAAGATTTATTGTAGTCACCACCTCCTAGAAACTTCTGTCCACCCCCAGCTGGCTAGGTCCCATCCTATGCACCAGGGACACCAGGGCAGACCCCTTCAATAGCCTTCTGCATTCTCTGCCTGCCACCTACCACCCTCAGGAGTTCCCGGGCCCTGGCAGGGACCATGGTCAGGGAACACGGTAGGTGCTCAGCACATGAGTGAGAATGTACAGCCAGCAGGCTCACCTTCTTGGTCCCGTACATGACTTCCATGAACTTCTCATCAGCATCCTGAAAGCGCTGATCAAGGAAGGAACTTGTCTTCCGCACCAGGTTCCAGATCATGTAGTTGTTCAGCAGGCTGGGGCAAGAGGACACCAGGCAGGCTCAGAAGCACCAGGGGCTGTAAGCGCCGCAGCACCTCCCCCACCAACCTCCGGGGGGCGCTCAGACCCGGCCTTCTGATCCCAGGCTCCTTCCCCACCTGCCTCAGTTTGGCTGGTTACTGCTCTCTGAGCACTTGCAATGTCAGCTCTTCAAGAAGAGCCTGGGTCTTCTGTTGAAAACCCCTTAGTGTCTAGTGCAGTGACTTGTATGGTGCAAACGCTCAATAAATGTTTGTTGCTTAGCTGCTTTTTATCTGGAAGCTGTAAGCAGCAGCTTGGAGACTTACCTGGGTGGTGTGTGCTACTGGGCTGCAGCCAGGAGAGGGAGATTAATAATACGGAGGACAGCTTTTTAGGAAAAGCTCTAGGCAGCCAGGCCCAGCTCTCTGTGAAGGAGAGCCCTCGCTGCCCTTTCCCAGACACACAGAACCAACCGTCTTTGGCCGTGCTCCCCTTTGCACGGAAGTCACCTTAGCCCAAAGAGATGTTCGCTCCGGTTGAGTATCTAGCCTCAAACTGGAACTAACCTAAATGCCTGGCAACAGGGGAAGGGGTGATAAATAATCTTATATGTACTCATGGAATACTATGTAGCCATTTTCCTCATCCACCACATGGGGACACAGCCCTTCCCATGTAGGGCTGTTGTAGAAAAATGAGATCTGCAGAGGGTTGATATAGGATGATATGGGGAAAATGCTCATGATGAAGGTCAAGTGAAAAGTAGACTCTACATGTAGTCTCAGGGATGGGAAAAAAGGAACCATGTATTAGAAAATTCATCTCTCTCTTCTATATATGCTTCCTCTCTACAAATACACACACCCCATAAAATCAGTAATAGTGTTTTGGGTACTTCTGATTTTTTCTCTATTTCTTTGGTAGTTTTAAAAAATTTGTACAACAAATCTTTTTAAAAAATTGTAAAAATGAACTGCAAACATTAGCTGACATCTACTGAGCCCCATCCCGCATCCAGGCACTATGTTGAAACCCCTCACCAGGGTGCTGCACGCAGCCAATACCCTCACAGCCCCACACGGCAGGGGCGGAGCCCTCATGTGACGGACGCGGAGAGCAGGCCTGAGGAAGGCTCAGAAACTCATCCATGGCTTCCAGGTGGTGCGAGGAGCTGGCATCTGAACTGCCTCTTGTGAAAGGCAGCCCCCAGGTCCCTCTCCCTGGGTCAGGGTGTCAGCCGCTGCCCCGCCCGTCCTGCCTCCCTGGGCGCCCTTACCATCTGTCAGTGCTGTTGATGAGGGTGGACACCTGGCTGAGGTACTCTTTGTCATAGACAACAACAGGCTCAGATTCATTGATCTCCACAGGGTAGAAGATGGTGTTGAGAAAGGGTAGCCAGTTGATGGCGGGTGCCAAGGCCTGGAAGGGAAGTGACAATGTGACTGGCTGGGCAGCTCCTCCTCAGGGGCTCCATCTCCGGGGTATTGTTCTGAAGGCGGCACCATCATGCCTTCTGCCTGTGGACAAAGCAGAGCTCTGGGCGCTGCCTGATGGTGCCCCGGGAAGATGTCAAACTAAGGCTGGCTGGCTTTTGTCAGAGATGCTGGAGACACAATTCTAAGGCGCCAAACACCAGACTTGAGCACGACGCAGAACTAGGTGGGTATGGGGAGCCGTGGTCTCGGGACTTCAAGCCCTGCTTGTGCTCTGCTCCCAGGTGCCACTGCAAATAACCCACATGTCTTCTCTCAACTGGACTCATGCCAGGCCCAGGCGGTTGGTATATTATGCCCCCTTTATTGATGAAGAAACTGAGCTCAGACAGGGCCGCCACAGAAAAGTGTGTCAAATCAGGAGCTAAACTGCCTGGGTTCATCTGCCAGCTCTCTAACTAGCTGTGTGACCTTCAGTACACTGGTGAGCCCCACTGTGCCTTGGGGTCTCATCTGAAAAGTATCATCACACAATAGAACCCACCTCATGGGATTAGTGTGAGGATCAAACAAGGAAAGACTGTTCTACACACATGTCCTTCTGTAAAGGCAACTAGCATCCAAATGACTGGTCTATACGGTTGGCAAATTCACGGCAGCACTGTAATGTGTAAACTACTTTGGTCCACAGGTGATTTTTCTCAGGCATGGGATCTGGGAAAGCAAGCTGAGGATGAGAACCCTCAACAGGAAAGGAGCAGCCCTCACCTCAGCTGATGCACACCCAGGAAGCCAGTCGGCTTTGTTTTAAAATAATTTAACATGAGCACCAGCCACCAGGGCTCCCTTCCCGGAAGGCATGCAGGCCTTGCAGAGCTCAGCTCCAGGCCCATCCTAATGGCAGCGGCTGTCCACGGGGTCTCAGCGTCCACTCCCCGCCAGGCAGCCTCCAGCCGTGCATGTGAGCTCGCTCTCCAGGTTCCAATGATTGTTTTGTGAGTGTTTTGATTTCAAAGTTACACAATTTTGAAAACAATTAATGGTAAAATACACATGACATAAAATTTACCATCTTCACCATTTTTCAGTGTACCATTCAGTGGCATTAAGTATGTTCCACATTGCTGTGCAGCCAGCACCACCATCCAGCCACAGATTGCCTCTTGCAATCCTGAAACTCTGTACCTATTAAACATAACTCCCCCTCAGGGAAGCCTCCTCCCCCAGCCCTAGCCAGCCACCATTCTCCTTTCTGTCTCTAAGAGATGACTACTCCAGCTACCTCAGCTAAGTGAACCACACAGTATGGCCCTTTTATGAGAGGCTTGTATCACTTAGCATAACATCCTTAAGCAAAGTTACACAGCTTTTGAACAGTCTGCCCTAGTCCCACTTTCTCCGGGTCTTGTTATTTGTAGTTATTTTTTGCTGTATAATTTTAAATAAGGCAACATTTTTCAGGATTACATAAGCTGTGTTACAGCAGAAATGCCTGCATCAATCACTTAGAACGGTATCTGGCTCTTAGCAAGTGCTCCGTCAATATTAGTTACTGTAATCAGTGGCAAGATCTGAGAAGGGGTCTGAGCTTCTCTGACTCCAAATTCTGTTCTCTGTTCCCTTGAAAAGGGGCAAAATGCAAGACAAATAAAGGAAATGAGAGATGCATTACAAATGGCCTTCATGTGGGAGGATCAATCAGTAATGTAAAATCAATATATAACATCAGATGAATCTATAACCTGTTGGCAAATACCTATGATGCCCTCAGTGAGGGGAAGTCAAAAAATCTTTAACTTGGCAGCTGCTGAATTTGTAGATGAGCTACGGTGACTTTCCTGAGGCCACATAGTGAACTAGTGACTGTGCAGGTTTATTACTCATTTTGGGGGGGCACTGTGTCTGTTTTTGGACTATAGTTGATAGACTGTGTAGGTTTAAAACCCAGTCTCACTCATGTATTTTAAGGGCATCTTGGTGGCTGGGAAACAAGGACCTCAAAGGACAGGGGAGGGCAGCTCCTGCAGGCAGTGGTGTGCTAGTAAATGTTAACAACTAGCTCTCAGTTGGGGGTTGATTTGTACTCCCACCATGACCCACTGCACACTACCTGCAGAGTTGGGAAGGGCTGAGTGGCAGACACATCCCTGCCCACCTGGCAACAAGCTAAGCTGGGTAGAGCCCTGTCCTGGAGTGAGCCCTGGATTGGAGCCCCCACCACAAAGGAGAACCAGTTCTGGGCCCTCGAGCCATTTTGTCATCTTCTGTAAAATGGGGAAAACAGTCCCACTTTCCTGCCCAGGGCTGGTGGCTCAGGGTCTCATGGAGGCAGCTTGCTCAACCAACCAGTTTCCTTTCTCCCTGGCTGGTCTGTTCTGCTCTCTCCTCCAGGCACGAGGGCCTCAGGCAGGTGACCTCTGGGGCTTCTCTTTAACATTTCTCTGGCCACAAAACTTGGAGGTATCCACATGAGATGGTCAAACAGGGCTCAACACTTACAGCTACCTACCTGCATGACCTGCTAGCAAAGACTGCTGGGGAATTCACCAAGTTTATAAAATGTCATTGTTTATACAGTCAACGAGACCTTCATAGTCTGCAGGCGATTAGAACTCTCTGATCAGGGTACCGCTATCAGGTGGTGACAAATCCCTATGTACTTAACACAAGCCTGCTCCTTTAGGGAGAGCAGGTGTTCTGTGCAGGTAAATTCCCGTAACTCTGAGGTCAGGTGTGTGCTGAACACCAGGGTTTTCACATTTTCAGACTTGCCATCGTGAATGCCTAAACTCATGTGCCTAGGTCGTCTCCATGGACAGGGCTGTTTCAACTGGCGAGGACATTCCATTTGTGACTCACATCCTCTGGGGCACGTGGATGAGCTCCATTTTCCACACCCACGGCCAAGGAGTACTGCTGGTTGCCACCAGCTCCAGGAGGCTTGCAATATGGGAGAAAAAGGAAGATGCCATCAGGCTTTTACCTCCGCTGGGGAACTTAGAGCAGAGGCTGGGGCTCATTCCCAGAAAACTTTTGGTGTGGAAAGTCCTAGAAAGGAATCTGCAGGTTCTCAGACCCTTGGAGAAGCAAGGGAAGGATGTTTGATTCATGGCTCTGAATTCAAACTCTTCTGGGTCTAGCCTGGATCCACTCTTTACTTCAGCAGGGCTAGCCTACAGCCACACTGTGAAGGCTGAGTGCCTTTCCCTGAGTCACCTGTAATATGGAAAGAAAATCAAGCTTCCAGATACCAGGGAACAAGACAATCTCTGTCAAGGGCAGAATTAATCAACTTGGTTTAGTGCTGGAGTCGTGGGCTGGCATCACCAAGAATAAAGGAAGAATGTAATGCTGATCACTACCATCCATGTGAATTGCACATGTCAATTTACAAAGTGAAATCTCACCCTTTGCCTCATCTCACCCTCTCTCAACCCTGTGGGCAGGCCAGTACACCGGGCTTGTAGAGTCCAGGACTTCTTTAAATGCTAGACATATTATTTTATATGTACATATGCCCACTTCTTCTGGGAGATATTCCATTGGTTTCAACCTGTTCTCAAAGAACTCCGTGACTCAGAGTTAAGAACCGCGATACCTTGTGAGGGCAGGGGCTGCCTCTAACTTTCTGTTCTGGAACGGAGCAGGTGTGAATGAGCAGGCAAGGCCCCATTTTACAAGGAAGGAAACCAAGGCTCAAAGACAGGGCTACATGACTTGCCCAAGGTCACACAGTTCACGATGGGGCTGGGCTGGAGTAGTCTTCCCACTCCAAGCCTGGGACTCGCACCGTTCCAGGCGGCTGTCTCTACTGAAATCCTCCCCTGCAGAGGGGAGGGAGCTCTGCAGCGGGGAGGGAGGAAAAGCTTTTCCTTTTTTGCACAGAGGAACAGAACAAAAGCACTGGTGAGAGGGCACCCAGGGGGGCCTGGAAGCCACACTCAGGGCTATTGTGCCTTCTGTGGCTGAGAAGTGGGCAGCTGCAGCAAACACGCAAACACCATCTCCCTCAGCCTCCTGGCCTCAGAGCGGAAAAACAGTGCTAGCTGGTGTGCACACAGGCTGCTGATTTCCGTAACAACCCACCTGCACCACGTACCATCATGCCAATGTCTCTGGGGACCTAGGCAGCTCGTGCCCAGAAGGAGGCTGTCTCTCCTCATCCCTAGCCTTCGCCTGGGCTGCATCTCCACCTGGGCCACCTGGTCTGCCTGGCTGTAGTGTGTGCATTCGTTAGACGCACCTTCCCTGGCTTTCCCCTACTCTGTTCCTAGTGACCTGCTTCTCCAAGTGCTCAGCAGGGAGTTTGGGATTGTTTCCTCCTCGGTGTTCCCCCTGGCCTGAAGCACCATCGGCAGCCCATCAGCACTTGTCAGAGGGAGGAATGAAGGAAGAAAGAGGAAGGCACCTGGGTGTGCTTCCTGAAAGGGGAGGAAAGGAGCCAGACTCTGAGGGATGGGCAGGACTCGGCTGATCAAAAGGTGGAGAAGGGAGAGGACATCTTGGTAGAGTCCCAGCACAAGTGCCCAGACATTCTCCCCAGTGGGGGAGCAAGGCCGAGCCAAGTATTCCTAGGTGACGCTTGGCCAAGGCCACTCTGCTGATTCTCCTGTGATCCCAGGGGCCTGGAATAAGGCTGGACACCAACACCCCGTGGACAGGAAAGACAGACCTGGCATACCATCAACTCACTTCCTGCAAGTCCCAAGCAGACACCAGGGGGCAGCCTCTGGCAGAGGCTGAGCTACAGAGGGGGCATCAGCTCCTCAGTGGGGGAGCGCTGTTACAGAGAGCAACCCCACTACACCTCCAGGAGGCTGCCAGGGGTCGAGGTCAAGAGCAGAGCTTCCGCGAGCCAAGCCCGACTCCAATGCTCAGCTACCCTGCTATTTAGGCAGTCTTGAGGCCTTGACCGTGTCACTTAAACCCCTTAGCTTGGAAAAGGAACAAGTGACCATAGAAGCTACCCTTCACATTTACCGTTTGCTGCATCCCAGCCTCTATGCGCTTGGTGCATGAGAGGCTGCAAACTCACAACCCAAGGGAGCTACTCTCATGGCCACAGTCTCCCCAGGTAAATGCTGTTACAGAAAAGCAGCCTGGTGTGGGCAAGAGGCTAGTTTTGGAGTCACTAGCCTTATGGTTTCAGCAGCAACTTAACCTCCCTGAGCTCAGTTTTCCCATCTGTGAACTGGGTTGTACCATCGGGTTGTTCTAAGGTTCTGATAAGGTAGGTGTAAACCCCCCAGCCCAGTGCCCTATGTCCTGAAGCCCTGTGGCTGCCCCAGCCTCCCCATCAGCCAGAATTCAAGTTACCTGCAGCTCGGCCGCTGTCACCTTGTGGTAGATGAGCTCCTCGTCCCGGCGCTTTTCCTGGGGGATGGTGATATTGGCCAGTGCCGTCTCAAAGTCCAGGATCTGCTGCATCTGTGGCCGGATGGAGTCCTCATCCCCTCCACCCAGCAGCTTCCCCAGCTGGACCATGTAGTTCAGGTATCCTGTCAGCACCTGGGGGAACCCAGCACCCCCAGTCTGTCAGTGGCTGCCACCCACTGCCCACTGAATAGGGTGGCAGGGCAGGGCACAGCCAGCCGTGACCCAGTACAGAGAGAGAGGGGGCTAAGTGCTGTGCCCAGGAATCCTGCCAGAAACCAGCTTCGGGAGCCACTTCAGCACTGCATCTCTTTGCAGTTCCCCACGGCCCTCAGGGGAAGCCCATGGTTTCCCCCTGGGTTGGTCCCTGCTGTTCCGGCCCACACTCCCTCCCCAACACATGAAAACAGCCGACGGAACCATCCTTCAGGCCCTGGATCGCACCTTCTGAGCTGCCCTGCTCTACCATGTCCCCAGGTCCGAACTGGTTACAGTGTTAAATTTTCTTAACTCACCCTTCTCTTTCCATCTTGTCCACTCTAACTGGGTGGTTGGTCAATTAGCATCTGCTTCTGCTACTGGACACTAAGCTCTGTGGGGGCAGGGACTAAGTCCATTTTATTCACCATCTCCCCCCATCAGGCACTTAGTAGGCACCTGCTCAATACAAGTGGGGGGAATAATGAGCAGACAGATAACAAACCTCAGGCGAGGTGTCCCAAGCTAATTGTGAGAGGCAGCCAGGGTTGTGGGGAACAGGCATGGGCTTTCAAGTCAGTGGATCTAGATGTGAATCTCAGCCTCACACTTAGTGGCTGTGTGACCTTCAGTAAGTCACTTAATGTCTCTGAACCTTATTCCCCACTCTGTAAAAAGCAAGGTAAAACTAACACCCACGTGACAGCTGTGGCAAATGAAGTTGAGAGATGTCCAGTATCTGTAGGGTTACCAGGTGGACCAGATGTGATGTGTATAAAAGGCCTAGCGCCCACAGATGATAGTGAGTGTCATGGCTCCCTCACTTTAGAATGGGGACAAATAACACATGTATTCCCTGCCTACTGTGCCCATAATGCCTGAATGTGAAATAGCCAGCCTCGGGGGTCCCTCCTCGGCAGGGACAGCCTAACACCCACCAGGTAAGTGACACCTTTATGTAACTCTAGTTTCAAAGACGCCTGCAGGTGGGGACACTGAGGGGACACCAAGGGGGTGAAAGGCTGTGAGGGGTGGGCTGGCGGTGGAAATTGCTCTCTCTGAAGAGGCACACTCACCTTCTCATTTTCAGTTTTGTTCAGATAATAGTCCCTTGAGGGTAGGCCCAGGCCAGACTGGTCCACCTGGAGAGAAAGGCCAGCGTGAGAAGGAATCTCCCATTACACACACACACCACCTGCCCTAGGGGCAGCTGGCACATGGCCACAGAGCCCCAGCTTGATCCTCCGCAGGAACACAAGCTGATAAGCGGAGGCTACCCCTGGGATGGGTCCCCCAGGAGGGGAACAGACACTGGGGCTGCATCCTGCCCATATGCCTGGTCAGCTACAGGGATGCGGGGCTCTTCTGAAGGGCCAGATGGAGCCACCCTCCTCCTTAGACACATCTTAGGCTCGGCAGAGCACCTCTATTTCACTGAACACTTCCCAGAATGGCGCAGTGGCTAAGAGACACTCACAAGCTGTGTCACTTTGGTCAAGTTCATGAAACTTTCTGATCCTCAGGTTCTTCATGTGGACAATAGGGGAAATAATATCTAATCCTCAGAACTGGAATGAGAATTCAAGGAGACAGTGCCAGTAAAGGGCTTGTTGAGTGCTGGGCAGACAGGGCAGGGGTCAGGTTCTCACAGCTACTATCAGAGCCTCATGGCCACACCTTGACATACCTACAGTAGATGTTATTATAGTTCATTTGATTGATAAGGAAACTGCAGAACAGGCCAGGGCTCTTGCCCAAGGTCACACAGTGACTGGGTGATAGAGATAGTTGGGACCACAGTCTTCATGATTCCCAGCCTGGGTTTCTCACTTCTGTCTTTGAGGGTGAGCAGACCGGTGCTGGGACTCCCCTGGGTGTGTTGGTGCTCAGTATGGGCCAGGCTCGGGCAGGAGCTGCTAAACTCAAAGCCATTCCCAGCAGGGCTGCAAAGGCCAGAGGACAAGGCAGTGGCTCCAACTGTGCCAGGAGTTGACATCACTCCTGGGGCGCACAGTGACCAGTCAGAACCCTGAAGCACATCTATGTGCAGTGACCCCACCTACCCAAGGACAACAGCCTATTGCTCTTTCAAAGCTGCTTACCTGCAAAAATCCAACAGATGGGAGTTTCCAGAACTAACCCAAGCTCAGAAACCAAAAGTGGGCCGCCCCCAGCAAGTCTGCCCCAACCTTGGGCATTTGCTAAATTCACAGCGGGCCATGAGGTAATGCCCCTTCCTCTTCCCGGGGTCCCAGGCCAGCTCACCTGGATCACGTTGCTATTGGAATTCTTGGAGTCAGCACTGACATAAACCGAGAAGAACGGTGAGGTGCGGTAGTGGGAGGTGACCACCTGCAGCGTATCCTGGAAGTTGTTCTTGTCCCACGGACCTGTGATGTTCCAGCCCCCAAGCTGCAGGGGGAGAGAAGGAATGGGGAGGTGATAACTTGACTGGAAGACCCGGGTATGAACTCTGCACCTGTGCTGACTTCCCCTGTGAGCTTGGAGCAGTCAGCTGATCTCTCTGAGCCTCAAGAGCAAATGAAAGAGGGGGTCTTCATTAGGGGTTTCTACCCAGTGAGCAGGAGATGGAGATGGAGCAAAGACTTATCCTAGACAAGTGAGCCACAGATCCATATGGTGGCTGCTCCCTGGGTGGCTGTGGGGATGGAGATGGGAATCTTCCCGTGCATGCCTCACTTTAATTAGGTGAATGTAATTCCTGTGAAAGCATAAATTCAGTCATGCCTATGGGGGGAAAAGGCTCCATTTTTCTTTAATAAAATGTTAAGTGGTGGTCTCTAGTTTCTCTCAGAGTTGGGATTTTCTAAATCTCCTTGATCCTCTCTGGCTCAGCACATGCTGGCATGTGGGGCATGAGCTAGAGAGGAGGGACTGTACCATCCCCAGTGCCCACAGCTCCCAACTGTGCTGCAATGCTTTCTCAGAGCTGAGCTAGCAGGCAGGGCCTGGAGGGAGCACGGGACAGCCAGAAACATCCGCGGCCACCCTTCTGTGGGCACCAGGCAGCCCGGCCAGCGTTGGGCGGCCTCCTGGAAAACAGACTTCCCCCGCAGGAGGACGGGCAGAGCCCAGGTCAGTGGGGCCCTCCTCACAGGGAGCGCTCTGCTTCTGGTCCAAGACTTTCTGTTGGTCCTTCAGGTGCACACGCATCCTGACCCAGAAATATGCCCTCTGAGGAGAGGGAAGCGGCAATGTGGAGGAATCAGAGGGGCGGCAGGTACAAGGGGAGGGGAGATCAGGAGAGTCTGCTCCAGGAACCCACCTTCTCAATCAGCTCCATCAGGGGCTTGGCCTTGAGCTCCTCAATCCTAGTTTCATTCATACATGCACGGTAATATACTTGGGCCTTCCTTTCTGCCTCACTCACACTGGCCGTGGAATTTTCTGGAATGACAAGAGACGGCAGTTTGCAACTTGCCCCCATTTGCACACTGGGTGGCCTTGGGTGAGTCCTCAGATCTTGGTGTTCTCAGTTCTAGGAAGAGCTAGACTTCTGCCTTTCAGGGCAACAGTGAGAAACTCAGTCACAGCGGGTACGTATCTGCTCCTGAGCAGAGCCTGGCAAGCTAGAGGTGTTCCCTAATTTTAGCTGACTGCAAATCACAGTATACCTGCCACCTTCCCCTCTGCTGGGTGGGTCCGCAGATGTGTCCCTGAGCTGCAGCACGGCCACCCAGCAAGAGGAGTCTGCTTTCCCTGCCAGCCAACTTGTGGCCCAATCATCCCTGCTTGATGGTGGGGCACAGACCTCTCTTGGTTTTCAGATCTTAGATGACCCACCTCTCTTGTGATAAAGACCGGAGCTGGAGAGAAACTTTAAAGATCTCACTGTAAATTTACTTCCTCCCCCTCCTCAGAGGGGCCAGGCATGTTCACAGCCTCACTGCTGACAGTATGGGCTGCCATACCCCTTCCCTCCCCTGGCAGTCAGTGTCCCAAGCCCTCACACTGGGACAGTGGGACACTGGGAGACTGTTTCGCTTCTCTCTATCCTTAGCATCCTGGTCTGGATGCCACCTGCTGAGGGCTGTGGCACTTCTGTATGTGCACAAGCAGGGTCAGAGGCCCATGGGCACCCAGTGAGGGCAACCACTTCCTGCTGTCCAGGTCACGGAGGACCTACTATGTGCCAGGGCTCCTGTGCTTCAGCCTTTGTCTCAGAGCCCTGCTCCAGACCACTCCTGGGTCCCTGACTGCTCAATTCCATCTGTCCACCTTGGTCCCACCCTGAGACACTCCTCACTGCTCTGGCAGCTTTTGTTCATTTTCCAATTTGTCTCTCCTGACCCTGAAACTCCTTCCTTTGCTTTCTTCAAAGACTCCCGCAAACCCCACCTCCTCCATGAAGACTTTTCTGCAAAACTTTACCCATTTCACCCAGTAAACAGATACTAGAAGCTTACTGTGTGCTAGACATTGTGCAAGCTCTGGGGACGCAAAAGACAATGTCCCTGTCCTCATAGAGCTTCCTTTCCAGCGTGAGGACACAGACAAATGAGTAAACATAAAGCAAAAGCTCACCGTCAAAACCCTAGAGCCTTCAAGGCCTCTCTCAGAGACCATCTTTCCTATGCAGCCTTTTCTGAGATGCTCATACATGAAGGCCCTCAACATAGGGCACCTACAGCCTGGACAGGGCACTAAGTTTTACAGACAGACAAATGCTCGTGTCCTGTCCCCAAGGTGCTTGTGGTGTAACGGAGAACACAGACAGGCAAAGAAATGAACTGGTGTCACAAAAGTGCTTTGATTCATGCAAATGGTTTTGGCTCAGAGAAAAGCCACACACACACCCATTGGTAGGGTGGGGGCAGGGGACTCCAGAGGACAGTCTATGTGAGTAGGTTCTTAAAGTTGCCAAGTTGTTCCCCAGGTAGAAATGAGGGGAAAGGGCACTGGTTTGGGGGAGTTGGAGAGTGGGAAGAAAAGCAAGGAAGCATAGGAGGGCTTGCCGTTTGGGGAAAAGAAATCCTTCTGGCCCAGCCAGTTGCTGCAGAGGGCATGAGTCACTTCCTGGCCAGTGTAACCAGCTGTCCCGGCCCTAGTCCCAGGAGCTCTGCTGTCTCCCAACTCTCACCATAAACAGCATCAGGGCTTTCACTGCTCAGAGAGCATCAACCCCTGTCCTGCTGAAGTCGGAGTGACAGCCCTGAAGAGGGGGTGGGACCAGCCTGGGCTAGTTTGAAGGGAGATGTAGCAATAGAAGAACCCTGAGAGAGACAGGGGAACAGGGGTGTGCATGACAAGGGGCTATGGAGGGTACACACAGCCCTGGAGACCACGGGAGAAACACCTGCACGTCCCTCATGCCCCACTGGAGTGCGAGCAGAGGTGCCCCTGAGGGGAGGGCAGATGTGGGGAGGCTGGGACTTCTCCCTGCCCCTTAGACCCATCAGGGACAGCAACAGGGGAGCTCCCCACCCCTCTCCCAGGGGCCCTGTTTCTATGACAACACTTCCCAGCAGCTGGGCTCTTGGAAGGGAAAGGACAAGGATCGTCATTGCTCTCCAGGCCCTGGAAGCAGCATCTCACTGTCCATATCTGGCTCTGGCCATGACTCTGAAATGCTAGACCCATTGCAGGGGGAGGCGCACTGTGTGCTCTGGCCCATCAGAGGGCCTGGCTCTCCCTCCCTGGCAGCTCCAAGGCCACCGAGATAAGAGGCCCAGGGAAAAACTCCCGAGGAACAACCTGGCTGTGCTCATCACAACGAGTTCCACGTGCCCCTCCCCACTTTCCCCAACACCTATACCCAGTCCCCTAATCATCACTGGTAGGAGAAGGAGCGCGTCCTTCAAGCACACCTTCCCTCTCTCCTTTGCCGAGAGGCTACCCCCGATGAGATCAAACTTCCCTTCTCCACGTTCCACACCCTGGGTATCACGTCTACTTGTTTTGCCACAAATGTGTATTAAGTTCCTGTGGTTTGGTGGTTGCTGGGCTGGGTGTGGAGGATGCAGTGGGCAACATGGAGGTGGGTCTGTTTGCATAAGGCCTATAGGCTTGGGGGCAAGACAGACAGCAATGAGGCTACCACAAGGCATCTGACTGCTGGGGGGGAGGGGGGATGCTCTGAGGAGGAAGACCAGGAGGCCCTGAGAGGACAGCAGGGGGAGGCCCTGGGGAGTCCTTGGCTGAACTCTGGGATGAACACAGAGTTCAGTGTGGACTGGACATGGGGGCTGTGCCCAGTCTGCCTCATTCACTGGTCTGTGTCCTACTGTCCATTTCCCAGCAACAGGCAGGGACACAGTAGCCCCCAGGAATATCTACTGAAAGAACCGAGCCCAGTGTTTGCTTCTGATGAGGAAGGATGCCATATCTGGGAGCCGAGAGAGTGGTGAGGCTGGGTCCTACCCGAGCCTTGCATGGGAGGAAGCGGCAGGTGGGACAGGAAGGGACAGAAGTGGGGCCCCACTAGGAGTTAGCAGTCATAAACCCTGCATTCCCATGCTGATGCTGGCTAGGGTAGGGGCCCTGGGAGAAGATAAAGCTCCTCCACTGCTCCACCTGCCTCTCTCTGGTTTACGGAACCCACTGAGATGCTTACAGCACCTTCTCCCACCTCCTCACTCACAGGGCACCTACTACCTGGCAGGCACTGGAGGGACAATAGCTGATGCCAGGAAGTCAGGTGGGAGGCTACTGCAATGGACCAGGTGAGTGATGACGTGGGCCCAGGGCAGGGTGGCAGCAGAGAAGAGGCAAGAAGCAGCTGGAGTGTAAGAGAAAGAAGTCAAGATTACTGCCAAGTGTCCTTGGCCTGAGGAAGTTTCCTTGCTGCTGACTGAGATGTAGAGGACTGGGAATGGGCTGAGGGGAAGCAGGTTTGGGGAGCGGAACGAGCTGTTCAGTTTTAGACATTTTAAGTTGGAGATGTCTATTAGACATTCAAGTGGGACCCTGGGTGGGGAGTTTTAGAGCTGTGGTCTTGAGCTGCTTTGAGTTCAATTAGCTCTAGAATATACCTTAAATTTAAGGACTAGAATATAGTCCTTAAAATTGCCTATAAGTCCCTATACCATACATACTCAAAGGGGTAATACTGCCTTTGAAGGGGAAGAGAACTGATTCTTAGAGGGATAGAAACACTTCACTCTTTTTACAGTACACTAAACAGGTATACAGTATATCTGTGGTATTAATTTTTTGGCAAGCAAAATGAAGAAAAGAGGACTATGTTCCAAATAAAGAACAAGATAAAACATCAGAAAAAAACCTGAATGAAATGGAGATCAGTAATTTACCTGATAAAGAGTTTGAAGTGATGGTCATATAGATGCTCACTGAACTGGGGAGAAGACTGGATGAACACAGTAAGTTCAACAAAAACAAAAAGATGGAAAATATAAGAAAGTACCAAACAGAAGTCACAGGGCTGAAGAATACAACTGAAATGAAAAATACACTAGAGGGGTTCAATAACAGACTAGATTAAGCAGAAGAAAGGATCAGTCAATGCAAAGACAAGGCAGTGGACCTTACCCAAGCAGAGCAGCAGTAAGAAAAAAGAATGAAAAAAAGTGAAGATAGGTTATGAGACATATAGGACAATGTCAAATAGACTAATATTGCATGACAGGGCTCTCAGAAGGAGAAGAGAAAAACGGGAAGAAATCTTATTTGAAGCAATAATGGCTGAAAACTCTCCTAATCTGGGGAAGGAAACAGACATCCAGGTCCAGGAAGCCTAGAAATCCAAATAAGAGGAACCCAAAGAGACCAATACCAAGACAAATTATAATTAAAATGTCCAAAGTTAAGGACAATGGGAGAACATTAAAAGCAACAAGAAAAGAACAACTTGTTACATACAAAGGAACCCCAAAAGACCACTGGTAGATTTTTCAGCAGAAACTTTAGAAGCCCAAAGGGAGTGGCACAATTTATTCAGAGTGTTAAAAAAATAAATTGCAACTAAGACTACTCTACTGGCCAATACTCAACAAATTTATCACTCAGAATCAAAAGAGCAATGAAGAGTTTTCCAGACAAGCAAAAGCTTAAAAGAGCTCATCACCACTAAACCTGTCTTATACGAAATGTTTAAGAGACTTCTTTAAGCTGAAAAGAAACAGCACTGATTAGTAACAAGAACACACAGGAAAGAATAAATATCACTGGAAAAGTAAATATACAGTAAAGGTAGTGGATTAATCACTTACAAAGCTAGTATGAAGGTTAAAAGATAAAAGTAGTAAAAATAACTATGATTAAAACAATTAGTTAAGGGATACACAGGACAAAAAGATGACATCAAAGACAAAAGGTGAGGGAGTAATAATATTGAGTTTTACTATAAAACTGAAGTTGTTATCAATTTAAAATAGATAGACTGTTATAGATACGTTGTTATATGGAAGCCTCAAGGTAACCACAAAACA